TTTGGAATATAGTTTTGGAAAGGTTAAATTTTTTATTTTTGGCCAATTATTTGGGAAGGAGGATTTTTTTTTTTTTTTTTTTTTTTTTCAAAACTATATGGGTGTGTAAACTATTTGCTTTTTGTGGCTTTAAAAATATTCTCTGTGCTCTGGCTGCACTTCAGCATTTCTTTCAGGATTTATGTGGACGATGGGCACATACTGCTGGTTCCTAGCCACCAACTACCTGAGTGCTGTTGTTACCTACCCCATTGTCACTGCAGTAAGTAGATTATGTCCTGACAAATGTAGTTTTTGTTTATAATCTTTAGATTTCTTACTATGTACAGTTGGAGCACACTTCACAATTGAACATTTCTCCAGTTTTTCTGTAATTGCACTTCATCAAAGCAGTTGCAGAGTTGGCCAGAAAATGGTATTTCTTTTTTTAGTGTACAGTTCTCTAATTTGAAGAAATTTCTGTATGTGCTAAATATTTTAGTATTTGGTGCTCTAAATGTTAATTGCCTCAAAGAAACTTGCAATAGTTTAACTGAAGGTGCAATAAAGCTAAAGAAAACCAGTTTGACATGGTTTTGCTTTAACTTTGGCTTTACTGTATGCAAACACTTTGTTTGGTGTTCAGTTGCCACATTGCCTGTCCCCTCTGTGTTTGGAGGTTTTATTTTATCTCAGCATCATTAATTTTGTCTGTTTACTTCAGAGGTCTGAAAAACATTGACCTTTTGATTTGATCCTCAGTGGATCTTTGACAGCTTTAAATAAAACAAATTTACACTTGTTAGACTGTATATTGAACTTCAGTCAGACAAAACTTTATTTTTGTAACTCATTGCTATATTTATAAATGTTGCAATGGCAACAGATCTCTTATCTTTATGAAGATAGGTGGCAAGTAGTGAGTCTGTAAATGGCTTTTTTGTGTTCTGTAGGGCTACGGTCTGGTTGCAGCGCTGTGGGGATCCTTGGTGTTCAGGGAGATTAAGGTAAGGTGTGAAATGTCAAATGACTTTGCTTGGATGTCTCCAGAGGAAAGTTATGACAAATCTGTTTCCTTTTCTGCAGGGTTTGATGAACGGTCTCATCTTCTTCTTTGCTACCTGTGTGGTGTTGACTGGCTCCATGCTGACTGCCATTTCAAAGCTCTGAAAGCTAAAATGACCCATTTGTAGCTGACTTTCCTTCACTGAATTAGACTTTTAAAAGAAAAGATCTTGGAATTAATTTTAAATCCACAAGAAGCTAAATCAATTGTACTTGGTAAGATTGAAAACAAGATATATTTTTAGTCAATCTTAAACCCACATTTGACACTTTAACACCCTTTAAAGGTTGTTCTAAAATATTGCACATATTTATATTATGACCTGGTGGTGGGGTTTTGCATCAATCCTTTGTATTGTTGTGATGTCTATTAAAATAACTTGAATATTATGCGTTTTTTTTTTTTCTACTGGAATCAAATTTCATAAGTGGTGAAACACTTATGAAATTTGATATAAATTGCATGCTCCAAATATTCAGTACCTAATTGGGCATCTTCAGCTTTAATTTCTTAAGCAATTACTGATATTTGACAAATTGGACTTAAACATTTTATTGCAAAGGGAAGAAAATGTATGAGATGTCAAGGTTAGATAAAATCTGATTTGAGGCAAAGAGTGAATTCCACCCTCAGATCAACTCAAACATTGATTTTTGGTAAAGGAGTTTGGCATTTATGCTTCAGTTGATGGCTACAGTAAAAACTGACATGATGGAAATGAAAGTGTCCTGGATAAGTCGGGTATTGAGGTAGCTGATATTTGGTTTGGATTGTCTGACATTCTTTTAAATTCTCTAACTTTTCAAAAACTGAATGGAAACCATAAGCCCTTTGAAAGATTTAAATCCATTTGATTTACTCATTTTTATAGATTCTGAAAAGGAACAGACAAATTACATTACACAACTGGTGATGATTAGCATAAAATAACATTTTAAACGCCAGTCCTCAATTGGATTAAATTTGAACTGAGTCTTCTAGAAGCGTTCACAGTACATTCATCCAAACTTGTATGTTTTGGTATAATGCTCATCTTTGCCATCATCTAACCAAGACGCAGTCTGAGTGAAAGTCAAAATGCATAAGTGGTTTTAAATTCCAGTCAAGTGTAATATAATTATCAGCAAGTGTTTTTATATACTAAAGTCATTTGAACTAAGGTATTGTAGCTAGAGGAAAGCCACTCCTTAAAGAAAAGCACATGATGGCCCATCTGAAGTTTACCAAAAGGCACCTGAATAGACAACTTCAGTTTCTAAGACCATGAGAACAAAGACTCTGGTCTGAAACAAAGTCTTTGTGAATGCCACATCATCTGATGAGGAAACCAGACATGGCTCATCAGGCCAGCACCATCCCTACAGTGAAACATAGTGGTGGCAGCATTATGCTATGGAGACGTTTTGCTGCAGCAGGAACTGGCAGACTAGTCAGGGTAGAAGGAAAAATTAATACAGCAACACCCAGAGACATCCTGGATGAAAACCTGCTCCAGAGCATATTAATCTCAGACTGGGGTGATGGTTCATTTTTCAGCAGGACAACAACCCAAAACTGTCAAGATCTCAAAAGCTTCAGAACCACACACTGAATGCCCTGGGGCGGCTAAGCCAGAGCTCTGACTTAAATCTCACTGAACGTCTCTGGAAACATCTAGATATGTCTGACAGAAGTCTCCATCCAACCTGATGGAGCTGGAAGAGAAAAATGGGCCAACAGCCTAAAGAACGGAGAGCTAAGCAACTGGCATATCGTCACTTTCCTAAAGTGTCATATTTTGCCAAACGTTTTCGGGGGTTTTTGCCTATTCATCTTTTGACTATAAATGACAGGCCATTATTTTAGGAAGATGACAGTATTCAATAAGACTTCATCAACAAAGTTTTGAACAAAAGCTGTGAATACTTAAGTAAATGTTATTTATTTTCTATTTTTAATAAATTAGGAAAAAACTCAACTTTTTTTTCCACATTGTCACAATGGGGTATTTGTATATAGAAAACATTAAGTATTGTACTTTCCTGATCAAATGTAAGCTGTTAAATCTTAAAAGTCCAAATCAAACAGTAAATAAACTGATTAATGCTCTGCTCATTTTTTGTTTGTGTTAGGTGTTAATTAGTTCATAGCTAAAACTGTAGTTTACAAATGTTAACTAATTTTACATATTCAATTCATTTGCTTCCTCCAAAGTATGTCCATATAAAAATGTCATTAGTTGAAGCTGAGTGCAGTGGCTTTGGGTCACATGTATGGCCAAAGCTTTCCATCTTCAGTCAGCATTTCTGTTGAGACTCCAGTTGCTTCATTTATTTCACCAGTATTGGTCTGTTGCTTTAATCAGAGCCAGGGGAGGAATGGGTGAAATGTAGGAAACCTGATGGCCAGTTTTTCCTCATCTGTTCTGACATCACAGCAGTTTCTAGAATTTCTTTTGTAGAATTCAGTATTTTGAGTAGAAAATTTGACTTTTTCACATCATACCCTCCAAACTGCAACATTCTTAATGTTTTAAATATACAAATGTATTTTTCTCACTCATAACAAAGATTTGCTCTTGTTCACTTGATTCATTGGAAACAGACATTATTTTCATTGGACGCATTGCTGTTTCCTTCATTGCTGTAATGTAATGCGTGACAGTGTTTGAACAAGTTGATGAACGTGTAATTCATATTTCTGCCATTGGGTGGCAGCCTACCAAACAGCAATACAAGTGAACTCTATTTCTTGAAGAGAATTCTTCTTCTCCTGTCTTGCTGTTGCTATGTTGAATAGGTACTATAAAAGAGCAAGGACTGGAGGCAAACCTTGATATAAGTCATATAAGTTGGAATATAAGTGTAAGCGATTCAGTTTACCGTTTAGTGATAAACCAGATATATCTTCCAGGACTTTTGAATGTTATTGAACCGCCATGACACTTGAGCCTGAATCTTGTTGAGTGTTTCGGTGAGTGGTAGCCGCCATTTTGTGTAATTCGTAACTGTGTTGTGATTTTGTAGGGGGTATTCCTGCTGGATAAGCTAGTATAGACGATGGATAGTTGGATTTTTTTCATAAGTAACCTAAAGTATATTTTTCATTATATTGTGCTACAAAGTTTTATATTGCAAGTTCTAATTAAAAGTATTACTACAAAATCTAAGAGTAGTATAGTTTTGATGTATTTTCAAATAATATATTTTAAGTATATTAGCATAAAGTTTTCAAAATAGGATAATTTTTTTAATTTTTCCAAATTGGTTCTCGTTTTCTTTTTCATGCTTAACCTATTTAGGTTTAAATTATTTAAGTATACAATTTACTGTTAATGTATAAGTCTTCTTTTTGTGATAAACCTGAGACCATTCTTTGTCTGTTTATTTCCAGATGCTAAAAAATATGCAAATTAGAATCTCAGGAGTGAGAGTGAGCATCATTAGTTGTCTGTTTAATTTGCTTCAGTGTTGGCTCTGTGATCAGTGACCTGCCTTGGGGGAATCCTTCTTTTAGCCCGGCGCATGTTTTTATGAACAATGATTATAGCCTTTGGTCATTTAAGGTGTAAAATTACAAGCTGTTGAAAGATGAGAGGTATCAGTCTAGTTTATTACAATATCCCTCACTTTTACACCATTATCTATAGTATCCTTTTCATTATTAATGGGGCTTCCTTGCATCCAAGGGCTCAACTGTAATTCAGCTGCTTTCAAGTCTCCACCACTATGGCTTCCATCATTCTGAATAAATCTGACACACACACTCCTTACTCTATAAGAGTGAGAGTAAAAAGCTGTAATGTCCAATTCTGAGAAGCTCTTTGTGTCCATGGAATCATGCATAGTTATCAGTTATGGGTGCCATATTTATAATCTTTCTTTTATGTGCTAACTGCAGGCTGTAACATAATCCCACAGCACATACAATAACACTTTTCATAAAGTCCCATGCTTGCTATCTGAAGGACAACTATTGCTGTGGCCACTCAGATATGACCTTTACTGCAGCTGCGTCACTCTGTTGAATTTATCTGAATGATTGCCATTACAAAACTGTATTGTTTATTATTAGCTGATGTGATGGCAGTGATGTATGTTTGTGCTTTCATGTTCTACAGAGGAGGATCCTACTGAAAAATACTGTGTGCTGAACCAGATGACTTTATATCTTTTAAAATTTTAAAATAAAATACTTCAAATAAAAATTATACTTCCTCAGGGTTTTGCTCCAGCAGGTTAATTATTTCACGTTCATATTACATAGTGTTGCAGAAGTTTTCATTCTTCTTGAACTTTCTTATATTTTGTCAAATAATAATATCAAAAATCAGTTTAACTTATCTGGGATTACAGAACTAAGTTTATGATTTTTGAGTCTTCTCTTTAAATGCCACATGTTAATAAGATTAACCTAAATCAGTACATTTTTTTAGACCATTGGGAAAAACCTTTTTTCTGTCATTACTGTTTTTGGCCTTTTTGATCAGTAATGATGATTATGATTAAATCTTAAAAGGTCCTTAAAAAGGTTTAAAAAAAAGTTGCTAATCACGATTGACACAAAAAGTATTTTTCTTCTCCATTTTCCAAGTTAAGTCACATTTCAAATAAAATCTAAAAGGACAGGCAAAATGACAAACTACTCACAATGCTTAGAGGCATAATCCCAGAGGCAGATCAATCTAGCAAAGAATGACTTGTCAGATTGGATCGATGTGCTACTTGGAAAGACGCCAACGAAGTGCAGACATGCTTGCTGATTGGTATTGACCTCTGAGGCTAAGAAATGAAACCTTGTTAATCAATATGAGCTTAATATTATCACTCTCACTGCTGTATTTTGCTAGCAAAGAAGGTCATGTTATCATCTTTACCAGTGAAGCATTATGAAATTCTCTTTACTTAGCTGAGTCATTCAAGCTACTTTGCATTTTATTGCAAGAGCTGAAGGTCACCATTGATGCCAACAGACACTCAGAGGCCACTTTGTTAGGTACACGTGTCCAATTGCTCATTAAAATATATTTAAAATAAACTAATGACATGGCAGCATCTCAGTGCACTAAGACACCGAGATGTGGTGAGGAAGAGTTGTGAAAGTGCAAACAGGGCATCAGAATAGAGAAGAAATGTGATAAAAGTTGAGCAGGGACTTTGAAGCATTGATTTTGGTTAATTTCACAGATTTGAAGGTCTTAAAAAATTAAATTTAATTAATCATATTTTATACGTAGTAAAGTTCCAGATGGGTCTTTTGTATTGACATGTTCCTGTACGCCTGTAAACCTGATGCACAGGCAACATCCACAAACAGCAGGGATGATCAACAAAGCTGCTTCTCTTGGCTGACTGGGAGTTAATTTCTGCTGCAACAAAAACTGATGACATACTGGAAAGGACTACTATAGTGTTCACGTTTTCCTAGAAGCAGTTAGCCTATCAGTGAAGCTGATAGGCAAATCCTTCACTGAAGGATTTGCGTACTGATCCAAATCCTCCTATTTGGATCAGTACGCAGCAGTCATGTGGAAAATAATGCTTTGTTAATGTCAAAGGTCAAAGGACAGACTGGTCCACGTTCGTTTAGCATTGAACGTGAACGCTGTACGTTCATTGCTAAACGTACAGCAGCAGCACAGACATCGCTAATGTCAGCGTCCACAGTCCATGTTTCTGCAGAAGTTTCATGAATGATCAGGAGTGGATGAAACACTGAAGCTGAATGGGTACAATAGCATAATAACAACAGGATGAAAACAGATATCTCTGTTATTGAGTTTTCAATATTCAATAATTTATTTTATATAATATTTTCTATATGCAGCAGTTTTTAACAGCTGAAGGTAATATAGTTACTTGATAAAATGGCACTATCCACCAGGGAAATACACAGTACTGCCCCTTTAATCAAGTCCTACGACTAGATAAAAGTGATTTTGATCGCAGCATAGCAGATGTACAAGAATTTGAATGAAGAACCTTCTATTTGGATCAGTACGCAGCAGTCATGTGGAAAATAATGCTTTGTTAATGTCAGAGGTCAAAGGACAGACTGGTCCAAACTGAAAAATTGTTGCAGTCCACCCAAATGTGGAAAGTCGAAAAACAATGATAAATGTGTAATATGGGAAAAAAAAAGGAAATGTATATGAAAATATACATTTTTCATTCTCATCATCATAACTATGAATATAGTCAAAACAGTCAATTGTCATGTCCACAGAGCACTGTGCTGGTTATGTTAGTGTTTCCCTCCTTCTCTCCAGGGTGTGACCAGCAGTGCAACCTATTAGGACTCTTCAGAAGGAGCTTAGAGAAGACACAAAATTATCTTCCAAGCTCAGCTCTGTAGAGAAACTCACCTTCCCCTGCATCTCCTACCATCTCCGCACTATTTAGCTCTGCTCATTAAACTCTCACTACATCTCAACATCCCCAAGATACACATCTCCTCCAAGTGCTCCATGACATCTGGTTTGAATACATCTTTCTTTTTATTGACAGAGTACATGCTGTACAGTCATTGAGACAAATGCTGTTAAACCTTTTCCTCCATATTTATCAAGGAATCCTTAAGTATAAAAAAATCTGACCTCCAGCTTCGGTGGTGCCTTTTGATTTGCATTTGGCCATAAGGTGCAGCATTAAGCAATGCAACTGACCCAAAAGATTTAGTCAGTTTACCAGTTATTTAGTGGCTTTAGGTTGGGGAAATAAAACACGGCCTTATTAGAAAGGTGACCATGTTAACAACTGACTATGCCTGAGGTGTGTTTTTTATTCTGTTTTCACAAAAAAATTGGAAAAAGCAAAAGATCTCGGCGTAGTTTAGTCAACCTTATTTCTGCAACCTCCTTGCTACCTGTAAAATATGAAAAACTAAAAAAATGGATACAAGATCCATTACTCTACAAAGCATTCATACATTTTCTCATAATTTAATATTTAAAAAGAGAGCACTAAATAAATAATTTCACTTCAGCCAATTTCCACAGCATCAACAATGTTTTAGTTTTTTTTTTTTTAGTTTTTTTTGTGTGTGGGGGCAGCTTAGTCTTAAAACAGGCAAAGAAAACAAAAACTTCTGCATTATTGCTGACTACCTTCTAATCTTGTGTCTCAGGATTTTCCCGTCTGAATCAAGTTGGAAACTCCATGTTGCTTGTGTGAGACAAATTTCATCATGCCAGTCACAACATCTGGACCCAAAGAGACAGAGGAAGTTCAAGGTACAAAAACAAAGCAAACAGATTTTATCATTGGTGTTTCAAAGTGGTTCTGCTGGGTCTTTGGTTTTTGCACTGTGGTTGTTCACTTTTGTTGCTTTGACCATTGTTTTTTTTTATCATCAAATATAAAAGAACATTTTGATGTTTATTATCTCTGAAATTTCATGCACTGGTGACTTCAGAAGCTAGGAAATAAAATGTGTTGATTACTTTCAGGGCCTCTTTGAAAACTTTAAAGAAAAGTCTGATCAACTGGGATGTTGCTTGGTGTGCTTTTTTTCTGACAAGTAGTTCAACATTGCCTAACTATGCAGTGCAAACTATCTGGAATACATCACATTAACTGAACAAGAAGCTGTTTTACTTGACCTCACTCAAGAACTAATCTGATGTTCTGCATTTATTTTAACTTGGTTAAAAAAATGTCTTCTTTATAACACAATATTTCAAATAGTGAAATGCATAAAGATCATTTGTTACCATGTACTTTCCTGGCACATTCTGTAGCACAACCAAGTAACTATGTTACCTTAAGTTATTGTAAAAATGTAGTAGTATATATGTCAAACAAAACTTAACAAAGAAATAGACTTTGCACTTTGACACTTGGAAATTAGCTGATCTCTCTAAGAAGCTTCTATTCTCTCTAACACGCCGCCTTCAGCCCATCATCACACCAGTGGTCGTCGTTGTTTACAACTGTTTGTAGGAGAGCTGAACAGAGAAATAGTTTATACGATGAGCTTCAGCAGACACAATGTTTTACTCTCTGAGGTATATGAATATTAATCTTGTGAAAATGTTTAATAATCAACAAATACACAAAAGCCCTTTTCTCTTTGCAGTGGGGGGTGGTAGTTTACAGTTCAGGCAATTTCCAGTAAGCTTCATACCATCAAACTGAGGCAATACATATGTCATGGGCAAACGGTGATGATTAAGGCTTTAACTGTTCTTAGCTGTTGTTAAGGCTGGAGGAGTGTTAAGTCCACCCCTTGAGGAAACAATTATTATTCAATGGCTGAAATCTAGACCTGCTGTACCAAGCAAAGCAGTACAAGGGGCTAGTCTTGTACTAGACTAGATCGAGACGGTTATCTGGTCAAATAAGTTCAGTGAAATCATGATCACTAAAGCAGGTATTATACTTTTTTGTGTGAGGAGTTGGAAATGAAATCATCATGAAATGTTGTAAGAATGTCCTGGTAGTGCATACTCTGATATTGAACTTGATAAAAGTCAGACTAGCACAGGGAGATGGCCTCACTCTGCAGATCATTGCTGACTGTGGAAACTCAACAACATTCTAAAACTTGGATTCTATGTGTGTCTACTTCTGCTGAAAAGGAGAACTTGGGAGCACAAAGCAACAGGGTTTTTTCCTTCGTAGTTCAGGTAACACACTTCTGATATCGTCTCTGGTTTAGGAGTGTCGTAACACATGGAATGTGACAGTTACAGCCCATGGCTTCAATATCTCTGTGTGTGGTGTCTGATATGGCTCTGAATTCAGCTACAATCCACACTCTATGTATCTTCCCTAAAGTCTTGAATTGACTTTGCTTCACAATCCTCTCAAAGCTGCAGTTATCCCTTTCACACATGTTTTGCTTCCACTAATCTTCCATTAACACATTTGGACATATCACATTATGAACAACCAGCTTCTATAGCAATGACCTTTTGTGTGACTATTAAGGAAAGCTAGCACTCTCTCCTATTTTTCCATGATTGAATACAACTTTTCTGGATAAAAAAAAATATATATATATATATATATATATATATATATATATATATATATATATATATATATATATATATCTATAATATATATAAAAAAAATAAATTGTGT